AAATTATATAGTCGCACAACATAATTTCAAGATCGTCACAAAGTGATAAACGTGATAAATCGAACTTCCATCATGCTACTTCTGCCTGGACTTGGTAATCCATGAACTCCTGCATAATTTTCCAGAAAGTTCTTTACTACTTCTGCAACATTTTTATCAATCATCATTTTAGTTTTCCATTGAGCCAACCTTTTAATATTACCATGAATTCTTGGCAGAAGACCATTGTTTATCAGATGATTTCTGATATTTTCAAAATGAGTCCTACCAATTCCTAACATACTGAGATAAGTTTCTTGACAAAGGAGTGTATTGTGATCCCAATGATAGAAAGTTCTTTTATTAGATCTAGTTTTCTTTTTAAGGCGTCTACTAGCACTTGTTAATCCACCATCCATTGCTTTAAGTTGGGCCATTAAAAATATGTCTTGTTCTGTTTTGGAAAGTGCTTGAAAGGATTCTCTTAATTCTGCAAATTGTTCCTTGAGAATTCTTGAAGAGCAGCCACAGTTACATCCTTCTTCTAAAAAATCAATTGCTTTTTGATATTCATTAGAACCATTATATTTATTATTACTTTTCATATACACTTATCCCTATACATATAATTTTATAATTTTATGTTCACTTTGTATGCTTTCCTAGGATGTTTAATAATTTAGCATTAAAAATGGATGAAAAATCTGCCCAGTTTATCATGAAATGCTTGTCAATCTTGACCAAAGAAATACAAATAAGGAAATATCTTGCATAAAAAAACATCAACCGTTCTTATATATATGTATATTAGCTTTAGTTTTACAAATATATTCAAAGTTTTAATTGAATTTAATTGGATAGAATTATTATTATTTTTTTTGGTATTACAGTATTATAAGAATATTGTTAATGATGATCATACTATAACAGATAAACAAATAAATTTATTTTATTGTTTCAGTAAACAGATTTTTTATTTTAGAACAACTACATAGTTAATCCGAAAACCCTGTTAAACCAAAGTTGGATCCAGAAACTAATTTTGAATGGAATAACGGGGTTGACTGTGTGGTTTGTGGCCTAGTACTAGACCCTATAAATTATTCGTGCAAAGTTTCTTTTTCGAATTTCAATCAATAATAATAATAACATAATAAAAAATCAGGAAACATGAAATATTCTACAGGATCTATAAGCTACAAGCTAATATTTTTTTTGTGTTCTTTATTATGTGTATTTTTGTGTAATTGATACATTTGGTTCTTTGAAATTTTGCTATAGTGTACCATTTGATCTAATAAAATCTATTTGAATCTACTAAAATAAACAAAGGATAAATTTATTATTTATCAAAAAAAGAAATAAAGAAACTTTGAAGTATATAAATATGATTGATTTTGGACTGAGATTGATGTATCAAAATTAAATTTTATACATTTAATAATATTATTTTGAAATAAATTCTTTAAAAACAATGCTGTTTAAATTGTGTAATTGATTCAATCATTAACACCA